CCTTTACCAAAAAAGTTTGCCAACCCCAAGTCTCTAACCTCTTCCAAGTCCAAATGCTTTGGTGCCATGCTAAGAATTCAGCACCTATACCAGCCACCAAGGAAGAGGGTCAACCTTCAAAAGATTTCAGAATTTAGTGTTGCACTGTAAAACAGGGTTAAGAACAGCAATTGTTACTGGCTAACTGGGGGTGTTCTGATGAGATGGCCTAGTAAACTGTCAGTGATTTCATCCATCAATGAACTGAATGATCATAGTAATACACTCATCAGGGGGGTTTAGTTGATTTAAACTCATGACAGTTGGGATCCTCCTACATGCCTGCTGTGTTATAAAACAGATGGCAGATCCAAGATCAATCTATTACATAGGATATTTTTATTATTGGGCTATTTTTATTAATGAGAAATGGTGCTGGAACCTTTAAATTCATGCTACAACTTAAATCTTTTTCCCCAGCTTTACTGACGTACTAACACAACTTAATTCTTAAAACAATTCTGCAAGTTAAGTAGCCAGCTTTATGAATGAGCAAACTGAGGTTCAGTGTGAACAAAAGATTTACCCAAAGTCAAAGAACTGAAAAGCTAGAGCTTGGATCTGAGTCTAGATCTGTTTGAATGTGAATCTGATGCTCATTCTGTCTACCATATGGCATATCACACGCTGATACTTCAAAAATTTAAATACACTAGTACATTACTACTGGCCAATGTGCTAGATTCAAGTATTTTTTTTGACAAAGTTCAACCATACTAAAGTATAATATTTATTTTATGCCACACATGGTGCTATGCTTTTCCTATTTAGTCTCTAACTTCTTCCAAGCCTCAGTTTCCTCATCTGTAAAATGGGCTTGGTAATAGAAATTTCAAAGCATTAATGTTGAATTAAATGAGTTCTGGGCATGCAAGAAATTCTTAGTAAGTAGGACCTACAATTAAAAATGACACACTTTATGCTGTCTCAGGTGTTCATGTTTAGGATTTTGTATAAAATGAGTAGTGAGGTTCAATACCTTTAAGACCTCTTCTAGTCAAATCCATATAAGACACAGGTGTTAGGCAACAAGAAGAAAGTATTGAAACAATCAAGCCATTGGATAAAGATATCTTTGGAAGTCCTTTTACAGGAGGGGAATCATGCTGGGGACATCCGCACAATACCTATTTGAACTGTAAGTTTGGAGTGTGTGCTTTGATATTAACACTGGATTATATTGTCTATTTTAAAGAGCATTCAGTGGAAAAAAATCAAGACTAATTTTCTGCAGTGAAATTGGGGAATTTAGATTTAGTCTGAAAACATATTAAACAAAAAAGCTGAAACAGATATTATTAACAACCTGATTTACAGTAATACACATGGACTTCTTCCCTGCTAATATGCTGTTTTTTTTCTATCCCCTATTGAAACCTGTAAGGTACCTAGCACCCTCTTTGTGTTCCCGTCACCTTTGTTATAAAACAATACTTCCTTATAACACCCAACATGCCTGCTTCCCACAGCTAAGATTACATGGGAGGTGGGACACTCTCAAACTTTTTTTGGTACATTGCTGTAACATGCCCTAATTCTGCAGTATATCAACGAGATCCTGTATCCCCTTACTGAATGGCCTACTCATTGAGTTGCCTAAGCTACTGTGACTAAGCTACTTCTCAAGTAGCTGGTTCCCATAGAGACAGAACAGCTATCACACTGTCAGGCATTCATTTCTTTATATGCTGGTAGAGTAAGGCCCAGTCACATGTTCCCTTGACAATGCTCAGGAACACCACGAAGTCTGTGCTCCAAGAAAGAAGGCCTGCCCCTGAACTGCTTGAAGATTTCTCTCCTCAGTGCCCTGAGGGAATGAAAGGGATGCAAATTTCGGATCAGCTTGGTTGTTGTTATTGTTTGGAAGAACCCTTGTTCATTAGTACATTGTTACCAGGCATGATAATCAGATTTGAGAGCCATTTCTGCCTGACTCTAAAGCTCTCTAAAGAGAACATTAAGCAAGCTTTCTTGCATGCTTCAGGCCACAATTCAACATCCTGAGCAATGTGTCTTTAAAAGTCAGCCTGTCAGGAAGGGATGCCTCCTGGCAAAGAGATGAGAGGCTGACCACAAGTGTCCAGCACACAAAAGGTGCCCATAAACATTTAGGAAGAAATCAGGCTCTGGGTGTTTGAGGAGCTTCTGCCCTGACCTGCGCACTGTTGGCTCTAAATCCCCAGCTCTGACCACTTCCCCATGTCTCAGGCTCACCTTTCAACTGCCTCCTTGCCTGGGCCAAAGGATGTCTAACAGGAATCTCAACTTGTCCAACATCAAACTTTCCATTTTCCCTCTGAATTAGCTCTTGTCCAACTCAACAAATATATTATTTGTCTCCTAGTGCTCAGGACAAACACCTGGGAATGATATTTTCCTGCCTCTTTCACTGTCTTCAAGCCCAAATCCTATTTCTCTGCTTGCAAGAGAATCCAGAAACGCATCAGTTCTCTCCATCTCTGCTTCTGGGGCATCAGAGCACTACTGAAACCTCTTCTCTGTCCCCCAACCTCCCTCTCCCACCATTAATATTTCACACACAGCCAGAGTAATCTAAAAATAGAAATCAGATCTGGTCAATCATGTCCTCCCCTTATGTCCGCCAATGCCTTCCTGTGGCCACGCGACTTCCATGTGCAGTGAGACTCACCCTCTTGACCACGGCTGGGAGGCGTCTGCATCTGCCCGCATCTCGGCCCACCTCTGTTGACTCTGCCTTTCCAACACTAAGCTCAGCCACACTGGCCTCTTTGTTCCTCAGACACCACTTTCCTGCCTCTGCCCTTGCTGTTTCCTCTGCTTAGAATACTCTTTCTTCTGACAGTCACATTCCTGATCAGCCTCTTCATTCTGACCTCAGGCTCAAAGTCATACTCAGGAAGACCTTCCCCAACCAGGCTTTCTGAAATTACTTTCTCCCTAACCCCCATCAACTTATTATCAAAGGGTGAGCTTATATTTAAATATCTCAAATCACTCATACTTTAAAGAATATATACATTTGGATTTTGGAAATTACATAGAATAAAACTTTTTATCACAGGTCCTAGAATGAGAAAACAAAATACTGTATGATGAAGCCTCAAAATGCCAATTTGGTTGACACTTTTAAAAATAAAATACAAGGTATTTGTAATGTTTTGTTTAGATATCGTTGAGAATCTGAATGAAAAACTCAAAGCTGCCAGTGGTTTCTAGGTTAGGTGTGAATTCTATGCGTAAACCACTAATTTACAGCCAGAGATTGACAGGGGGTCAGTAGGTCATGAGATGTTTGCCACCTCACTCCAGACTGGCCCTTTTCAGTGTCTAACAGAGCAGAGATCAAGACAACTCTCTTCGCATTGATTTAGCCCTTTGTGAGAAAGCTTTTAAAGATGTGAGATCTTCTGGATAATTTTCAAATGCCAGTTTTCTAAGTGCATGCTGCTTCTAACATGTCTGTGTGAGTTCCAGGGGCCAGCTTTCTTCCTTAGGAGTTAGTTGTTGGGAAATTAAAATGTTAGAAAGATCTCCAAGATTCTTCTACTAACTACACATTGAATTTCAGGTATTAATCTTTGTTTTTTAAGTCATATAGGGATAATAGTATTATTGATGAAAGAAATAATACAAAAAATCCCCAACACAGCTAATATTTATTGAATCCTTATTATGTGCCAGTCCCAAAGTAGAGATGTCCCTTGAATGACTGATTCCATGGCCTTATTTTTTATTATATTTTTGTTAATTGTCTTCTCATAGAAATCTGTTCAACAATAAGAAGGGGCATATCATGTTTTGCAGATATCTAATTTCTGAGTTGAAATTCAAACAGTGGAATATTCTTGTTCTTACAAAGCACATATTTTCAGCCTTTTTTGAATTAAAAATATGTTCAGGGTTATGATAAGGAAAGCTGCAGTGTGAAGCTCAAGTGATAATTTCCCTACTTTCAATGCCAGACTGCACCTACATAGGAGGCATTCAATGTATATTTTTTTGGAATAAATATTTATTGAAAGAATACCTAGATAAAATCTGAGATAAAAAATGATAGCATGCATATTTTATGGGTGTCAATTTTAACACTTAGTTGTGATAATACCTGGAGTCACAAGAATTCAGTCATTAAGGCTCTGAACCAATAGCGTCAAGGATTTAAGACTTGTAATACTATTTCTTTAAAGATTACAAAAATGAGAAATATCATATTCACAGAATAATCTCAGAAAATACCTAGAGCTACTTTGAATAACATGGTTTTTATGGGGGGGACAGTTTTATGAAATGACCAAACAATGTATTAAAAAGAAACTCCGTGGTTTCGGGTAAACCTAACTGCAGAGCATAGACACTGAATTCTACTCATGGAAGGTGCCCTGCAACATTCTTCTTTACCTACAACACCAAGGGAAGTATTGCAACAACCCAAGTGTGGATGTGTCTTTTCTATTGTCATTCAGAAGCCCAATTTTACATACCATTCACATCAAGTTAGCCCCACAGCAAAAGTACATATAAAGACATTCATAGCAGGTGCTTTGAAAAGAAACCACTAACACTGCTACTCGCTGAAGACAATAGCAAGTAAACCACTTGTTTGGTTGACTGTTGTGAATAAAAAGAGTAAAAGGATAGGGCACATTAAAAAATACAACAGAGAGTCTTTCTATGCCATCTAGATATTTTAATATTTAATCTTAGACTAGCATTCAATTCCTCCTATTCATTGGGATCTGAAATAAGAATGAATTGCAGCAATTTTATCTCATTTCTAAGGACCTAAGAAAAACCCCTTTTGTTCACTTATGTGTTTTTGTCTTACAGATGTGTTTGCCTCTATTAATACAAGTTATTTTCCTTTTTACATTTTAAATTTATTATTTAATATCAAACCACATTCCCATTTAGGCAAAAAATTCAATTCTAGGAAATATTTACTCTAAAGAAATTAAAACCTAATGCCTCTTGGTACTCACCCTCCCGTATCTGTTGGCATAGGATCCAGTAAGCAGGGAGTGGAAAACAATGATCGTCTCGTCCAAGTCCCAGATGAACACCCTCTACAAAGGAAGAACTGAATCAATGTCCCCCCTTGGCTGTGAAATCTGTTACTCAGTTAAGTTTGACATGATGCTTGAAATACGAGACAAATTAAAAACCCTAATTTATTATGTTTTTTTAAAAATACAACTGTTCCAAAGAGCATCTCCCAGCCTTTCTCTACATAATGAGGTACCAGAGGATAATTATATCAGCAATACCAGTATAAATACAGGAAAGAAATAATATGTCTTTTCTGTTGTGAAGTAAGTACTCAGTCTTAGTTCTGAAGAAATGAGAGCGAAGCTAAAATTAGTCTATTAGTTCTGAAACAGAGACGCACAATCAATTAAAAATCAGTTTATCTTTTCCTTACCTCTGCTCTCTGTTCACTAAGAAATGTTCAAATAGCTAATCTTATGTTTTATTCTTATCAAGCCAAGTATTAAAAAGTTGCACATAAGAACTAAAACTTTACATCACTATTCAACTTATGTTAACCTACTGGGCTGGTATCAAACGAATGGGCTCTGTACTGTCCCTGCCTGGTTTTCCTCAGACTATAGATAGTAGCAATGGAAGCAGACACATCACATGTCTCTTGACACACTCTTGGAGTATTCAGCATTGGATCTGAGGAACTCATTTCAAAACGGTCTCTGAGATCCCCTTAGAAGGCCTCCCACGCCTGCTTTTCTTCTTCGTGTTCCCACTCACACCAGTACATATTCATACACATAGGTTCTGCTGGAAAATTTTCATCTTTTCAGCCAAAATAATGTTTTCCACCATTAGATTTCACTATGGTAAAAAACAGTAACTTAATTGCAGCAGATTCAAGGCTCTGAAGTCTACACCCTATAAGGTCTTATTTAATCCCCCCTGCTTTTGAAATCCACCAAAACATGTCTCATAAGGGTGATCACCATTACAGTTTAGAACATTCCAGGTTTTCATTTCTCATCATGTAAGTGTGTCTTTAATTTCAGAGGGGATTTTATGAAGAATTTTTACTATGAAACTTAATTGATATGGCAAGGACCTAAGAGCAATATAAGAGAACGTTCTTCAAACAGGATTACATAATTTACTCTATTTCCTTAGAAAGAAATGAACAGATGCTTTCTACATTGTTAAAATGGCAGAGAAAATAACTGCTTTACTATAATTAATATGAAAGAGACACAAAAATGCTTTACTTATAGTAATATGTAAAAGAAAGAAGTAACAAAACACATGGACACCTTTGGGCACCACCATTGCAGGGACAAACCACCACTTAGCTACTGTCGTCTACTCAGGCATCGGCAACGACATACCTCTAGGTCAGAATCTGGAGGAGGTGAAGGGTTATTGTTTCTTCGGCCCCGTCCACGTGACTTCCCATCTGAACCTCGACGCAACCGATCACAATCTGAATCTTTAATGGGTGTTGATGGGCTGTGGATTGTACTGTACTCTGTAGAAATACAGGAAGGACTTTCATCTCTTTGGTTCGGTCACCATTGTGCCAAGATTAACTTTGTTTTAATTCACAGGGAAGTCTGAAGAGTAAAGCACATTTCATTCTGAAACCTATATTGCCTTTTACTTGTAGTAGTAAATAATTTATGAGATATTTGATAAGACTTGTTTTGAAAGAATGTATGATTAGAAATGCCTAAAATTTAATTGAAGGTGGGTTCAACAGGTTGTATCAAGTCACTTAGATTTTCTTTGTGGTTTCTCCATGATCAGACAATCCTCCCCCACCCCCAACTCCACATCTGCTTCTCTTTTCACTTCACAAATGACAACTGATCATACTCAGCAGTTCACACGTTTGCCTTACCAGTCACTCTCTCACCTACAAAAAGGCTTCTGTTTCAAGGAAAGAAATGCAAAGAAAAAAATCAGCTCTGGACACAGAAAACTGAATCACCAGGCAGATTTTTCTTTGAAAATGTTAATCTCTCTACTTTTCTTTCACTTTATGTGAGAACCAGGGAGAATAAGACAAGGAGAGCAGATATATGGGTAACACCCATGTCTGCGCAATATTCATCACAGGTTCTTCCTTTAGAACCTTAGAACCAAAAATCTCAAATTAGGAAGCACATTAAAATGTCCTCATCTGGATAACTCAGAGAAACCACGGAAATAATACTATGGAAACCACAATATAAAGAACCCCATCCAGGGCAGGGGAATGGCCGGGCAGTGGCCGTGAACTGTGGGATGGGGACTTTTATCCTATTTCCACAGTGAACAAAGAACAATTAATATTCATCCTGCAGGTATGGTTTCTCCCTAGCCCATCCAGTTCACACATCAGACAATTTCTATCTCCCTGAATTCCAGCTATGTGGGTGTGCTGGCTCTCCTCCCAAAACTCTTTGCCAGATTGTTCTAGTAGGGATTGGAATCTCTCAATCAGAGTGATTATTCTGAGATGTTCTTGATGTTACATTTCATCAAACAGAAAACTGGAGAACAGGTCAAGACCTAGTGGCCTTTTTAAATGTACTATTAGCCTCAAGTTTACCAATAAGACCATCCATGTGTCAAACCATATGGTCTCAGTATTCCCTCCAAATTTAAGCCTTCTGAGTCAGGGTCTATAGGAATGGACTTTGACAGACTAAATTCCACTCCTAAATCACATGAAACAGCCATATACTTCCTGTTCAACCTTAAAACCTCAATAGATTTCTACTATTTTTAGATGAGATTTTTGCTTGTCTTCTACCATAACAAGGAAAATAAACATCCTTACATAACTAGTCATGTGATCCTCATACCCAGAAACAACCGTGATGACTTATAAGCCTATTAATTAATTATGGCCACAAATCCAAAACAACTCCATCCAATGGATCAGTTTATATAGTTATTAGAGATACGTTTTCAAGCTAACTCATCTTGTAGAATTGTTAGAATACACTGCTTGCTGGTCAGAGTTAAGCATTCTTGAAATCTACATTAGATCTTTCCTTGCAGAGGCAGATGACTGCATTCTTTCCTCAAGAAGTTCCAAGTCAAGGCATCTTTATTCCATGTTTTATAAAGAATTAGAAGCCCCTAATTATGTATTTTAAAATTATATATTAAAAAAAGTCTGTATATTAAGGAGTTCAGTGGATTCAAAGCTAAGTTTTAAAGAAAATGTCTTGACATTCCTTTTCTTTAAATATCTGCCATCTACATCTCCATGTGGAACCTGGATAGCCACCATTTGAGAGAGAACACACACCAATCTAATAGTTTTAAATAGAACATTTGCTTTGAAATTGGCACAGCTGGCATCTAATGTGACCAGTACTTCAAGTACTTGACCACCAAGTCTGTCTTGAATTGTGAGCTTTCTAGCTTTTGGAAGTTCATATTTGAGAAGAAACTAAAAGACATCAAACAATGTTATCTTACCACATTATGCTTTTTGCCTTGAATTCCAGATAGTTCAGGGTTACCTTTAAATATTCACACACACACACACAAACATATACACCTTTAGAGGCCTCAACTTATTAGAAGGAAGATGAAATTTAAGTGAAGCAAGAGGGTTAAAAAAAAAATCTTCCTTTTTGTTCTGTGAGGTGCAATTAAATGCCTCTACTCTTCTAACCAGTTTTCCTGACTCTAACTTCTCCTTCCCCCTACTAGTGCAAAACAACTCAACAAATAATTTAATCTTCTAATCCACTGATATCTCATGTTTCATTAAAATCCTGTCCAAATTGTTCAACTTTACCCCCACTGAGATAATGGATGTGAAAGTACGCAGAACAGCATTCATTTCATTTAACAAACACTGATTTAATGTCCACACTATTCTAGGCACTGTCCTTGGAGCCTGGAAGCATATGAGGTACCAAGCAGATACGTTTCTTGCTTCCTTGGAGCTTAAAGTTCAGAGGAAGGCACTGATTCATGGACAAAAATGAGAGAGTATGGAACAACACAGAGAGGGTTCTGATGTGGGAAAGATAGAATGCTAGAAGGCCACATAACTCAGATTTACAGGGTCATAGTTGCCTCCTAAAGGTGCAGGACAAAGTTTCCAGTAAAATGGGAATATATCCAAGCAGGCACATGAGCATGTGTGAAGGTAGAAAGAGTATGCTGCAGAACTGAAAAAAAAATCAGTCTAACCTGAATCTATAAAGGAAGAGAACAGAGATGAGGCTGGAATGGCAGGTAAAGAATTCACTATGGGAGCAATACAATCAAACTTACAATTTAGAAAGATGACTGGAGCTCTGTTGTGGCAAAGGTTCTAGGGGCAGGACTGAGAAACGGAGATCAGCCAGGGGGTAACTCAGTAATTGAGGGGAGGGATGGTGGCCCAGGAGCAAGTACTGGGAATAGGGAGACTTAAAGATTTAAAGTGTCCTTAGAGGTGAGGTCAGTAACTAACTGGATAAGATGAGGAAGTCAGGTATGATGCTCATGCCCGCGGTTTCACAACTGGGCAGATTGGAGTATGAAGAATGGGATTTGGAAAGAAGGATGATAGGGGGGAATGTAGGTGAAATTCAGGTTCAGCTGTGTATATACTGAACTTAAAGAGTCTGAGGCATTCCTGATGTCTAGTCATTAGACTGCTAGAGTGCTCTGAAGGTCAGGAAAGGAATGTGGGCTGGATTTAGGTTTGGAAATTGACACCATATAAAATAAAGGAAATGGGTGTAAAGACATGCAGTGTGTGCAAAGTTGGGCAGAGAAAGATGGGTGGGATGTGAGGAGGAAAACCAAGGTCAATGTATTGTAGTGGAAAAAGCATGTCAGGAGAGTGGTTAATAACTTCAGATTAGCCAAGAGGTAAGGTACAATGAAGATCAAATCCAAGAGGATTTACAGTCAAAGAGGTCTTTGATATACTTGCAAAAACACAGATTTGACAAGTATTTAGAAGGTAGATTGGTGGGATAAATATGAGACAGAAGGTAGAAGAGTTAGCAGGGGTTAAAACTCCTACAAGTACTGATAACCCTATAACAGCCAAGTCCAATAACTGTTTTTTAGTCCTTAATCTCACTTGACTTTCTGTGGTTGTGCTGACCACTCACTCCTTTGAATGTATGCATTAGAATAACTGTACTGCCCCTTCTTCTGCCTCTTATCCTAACCCTCATGCTTTTCCTTCTCAGTCCCTGGAGACTTCTTCTGCCCAAAGCTTCAATATCAATGTTCTCTATATTAGGGATACTCAAAGTGCTGACGTGAGAAAAATAAGGAGTTTGCATCAGGATGTTAATTAATGCAATGCTTCCTTCATTAAAAGTCTTGCTAAGATTTAAAAATAAAAATCAGCTAAGGTAAACAGTGTGCTCATGACACACCAGATTACATTCTGAAGCAAATGCCTTATGCTATCATGAACTAAGAATGAATAATTGATGGACAGGCAGCCAGTTGGTGGGCTGTACTTTGAGTAGCAATGCACCAAGTTTCCTCTATGGTCCTCTCATCTCACTAGAAGCTCTCAGTGGTTTGTAGTACCTGTAAGAGGGATTTCAATGATAACCTCCAGGTTGGTGATTCCAAAGATTCACCTCCTGACCTCTTGACCTCTTGACCTGAATATCCCACTGTTTGCTAGACTTCTCTACCTGAATATTCCACACACATCTCAATTACAGTTGTCCCAAACTGAATCTTCCTTCCCTGTTAACAAGTCTGATTAATCATACCCTCCAAAAATGCTTTTATTCTAAGTGCAGGCTTTCATCATTCCTCGACTCAATTCTTGCAACAGGCTATTTTCAAGCTTGCTACCTGCAGCCTTTCACCTATCACTTGTACCACCATGACAGAGAGCTTTAAGCCCTTCAAGGCTCCCAACTTCCAGGGCGGAACAGGAAGGCTACCCTAGGTTTTAGGACACTGAGTTGTATATTTAACTGGTATGTTTCAAATCGTGACTTCACTACTTATTAGTTACTAGTATGACTTGGTGTCAATAGTTTACTTTTCCTATGAGTCAGTTTCATCACCTGTAAAGTTGGAATAAATAAAACTAATATACATATAAATGTACTTAGAACCACGTGTGGCACTAACACCCAAAACATTAATCTTAAAAAAAGTCCCACTGAATCACTCTGACCTTACCTCTAACTGCTCTTTCATTGTCTACACGTCAGATAGATGCACCTGTCCCTCAAAGTGCCACACTGCTTCATGACTTTGCACATACTGTTCCCTTTTCTTAGAATGCCTTCTCTCAACACTTACCCTCTTCCTCCTAAGATGTCTGTGAAATCCATATTAAGCCTAAAGATAAACTATCTTCGTTGTGAATTCTCCCTCAAAATCTCACTTCCCTGTTTTGTGTTTACACTTATCTCTATTATAAAGTTATAAAACCTTTGCAATTATTTATGTTCACAGTGGATAATACTTTGTTTGAATTTTGGGGGGCACATATCTGTCATTCCTGTTCTTGGAGGTCAGATCCTGGTGATATTCATTTGGTAT